TGTAAAACACTGATGTAAAAAGTTAAAGAAAAAAAATAAAGAACATCATGGCTGGGCATGGTGACTCACACCTATAATCCAAGCACTTTGGGAGTCCAAAGAGGGAGGATCATTTGAGACCAGGAGTTCCAGACCAGCATGGGCAACATATAAGATTCTATCTCTATCCCCAAAAATAAAAAATAAAAAAAATTAATCAGGTGTAGTTGTGTCACCTATAGACCCAGGTACTTGAGAGGCTGAGGCAGGAGGAACACTTGAACTCAGAGTCTGAGGTTGCTATGAGCCCAGGCTGATGCCATGGCACTCTAATCTGGGCATCAGAGTGAGACTCTTGTCTCAAAAACAAAAACAAAAACAAATAACAAAAAAAAAAGAACTTGACTAAAAGTCAAAAGATTTCTGTCCTCATGAAATCACTTACCAGCCTTTTGACTGTGAACCAATCCATTACCTTTCTGCATTGTGACTCCTGCAAAATTGAAGAGAATAAAATATAAATATACATATTTTAAACTCAATCTAGGACCTGTGGGTAGGTTCAAAGATATATGTAAATTACCTGAAATTGTATCATCCCTTTTCTAAGAAGTACTATAATTTTTTTCCAGAGTTTGGAAGCTTGCTGACATATAAAGGGTTTAGAATAACTGAATTGGATTTTTGAATTCAATGTCTAAGCCTTCTTCCATTCTAATACCCCATGATTCTAGCAGATCCCTCCTTCTTAATATTCCATGATTCCAATAGGAATGGAAGAAACGGATTAGAGACCTAAGTTTCTATGATTCCAGGTACTATAAGAGTTCATTCTTTTTCCCAAGAGGACAAGAACTAAATTTTAAACATGAAATTCTAGGATCTTTAAAACTTAATCTTCACCAACCTTCCAAACTCATTGCTCACCCCTTCCCTACGACCACGTCCCCATGTAGCCTGCAGTTTCCATAAAGTTTTGCTGTATGGAAATTCACTATGTGCCTTGTACAGGCAGTGCCTTCTACCTGGAATGCCCCCAAACTCCATGTTTTTCTTTTTGAGTCTCAGCTTGAAGATCCCCTTCCCAGTGAGGCCCCTTGCAGCAGGGTTTGATGTGTTCCCTAAGCCCTGGAAACTGACTATCTGTTTCCACATAAGAAATAGAATTGTTGGTTCACTCTGGGCAGCAAACCCAACTGCCCAGCTGTCAGAAAAGTTTGAAGCCAGTAGGCGTAACAAACACTAGGACAGACCCCTGGAAAGGAAACACAAAAAATTTCAGCTTTAAGGACAACAATAACCTAAGAGCAGTACTAAACGCAAACAACAGTCTGTTTCAGAGAACAAAAGCAGTGGGGACTGATACTACCAGGACAGATTCTCTTATCTAAAGGAAACAGTCTCTACTTGGCATCAGCTGATTGTTGACTAACAGGAATCAGGGTCCAGGGTGGGCAGCTCTTTCACTTTTTCAAGATTTGGGAGTGAAATCTCCCAATTTTTACGTGTCAGCAACTAAAAAGCATTAAAGACCCACTGCCTTGACTTTCAAGGTTTTCAGGCTATGGAGACTGTTCAATAAGGATCCATTTCTACCCATCCAAAGCAGACATCCTATGGAAGTTTTTTTTTTTTTCTTTGAGACAGAGCCTCAAGCTCTCCCCCTGGGTAGAGTGCCGTGGCATCACAGCTCACAGCAACCTCCAACTCCTGGGCTCAAGCGAGTCTCCTGCCTCAGCCTCCCAAGTAGCTGGGACCACAGGCACCTGCCACAACACCCGGCTATTTTTTGGTTGCAGCCGTCATTGTTGTTTGGCAGGTCTGGGCTGGATTCGAACCCGCCACCTTGGTTGTACATGGCTGGTGCCTTAGCCACTTGAGCCATAGGCGCCGAGCAACCTATGGAAGTTTTAAATCAGGGCCGCTGATGTGTTAATGATTGTTAGGCATGCCTATCCATCCCACAGAGAGCTCAGAAGGGCTGCATCAAAACTTTTCATATGAGGTCCCTGCCCCTCTCTGAGCCTGTTTCCCGTTCTGTAAAATGGGCACACAAAACCTATTTGTGAGTCAGATGTCTGACTCACATATAATACCATATGATACCATTTACTGAAGGGCTAGCAGAGTCATATGCTTTTACCTTCATCATCTCACTGAATTTTCATAGCAACCTCTATGAAGCAAGTTCTAATACACCCACATTTTACAGATAAGAAACTGTAACTCTGAGATAAAAAGCAATTTACCTAGTGAAAACAGCAAACATTTGAAAAGCCTCTTCTTCCCAAGGCTTTTACTTATTTTGTCCACCCAACAACTCTGACGTAGGTAAGGTAGCATTATTGCCAGAGGTGGTAAGGCAAAAACAAAACAAAACGAAACAAAAAAACTGCAAAAGGGATTCTATCAAGGCAGCCTGACTTCCAAAACTCTAGTCCAGGACAGGTCAACAGAAACAGAATGTAAACCATACATTAAACTTTTTAATAGCCACATTTAAAAAGTAAAGACACAGGTGAAACTAATTTTAACGCTTTATTTGACCTAAAATATGCGAAATGTTTCAACATATAATCAATATAAAAATTATTGAAATAATTTACATTTTACTTTCTTGCTGGGTCCTTTTACGATGCAGCACATCTCAATTCAGACTCAGACACACGTGGCTGGTGACCACCAAATGGAGCAAGGCATTTACGCTACACTTTATGTTTTTTTTGAGACAGAGCCTCAAGCTGTCCCCCTGGGTAGTGTACCGTGGCATCACAGCTCATAGCAACCTCCAACTCCTGGGCTCAAGCGAGTCTCCTGCCTCCGCCTCCCAAGTAGCTGGGACCACAGGCGCCTGTCACAACGCCCGGCTATTTTTTGGTTGCAGCCGTCATTGTTTTGGCGGGTCCGGGCTGGGGATTCGAACCCGCCACCTTAGGTGTACGTGGCTGGCGCCTTAGCCGGTTGAGCTATAGGCGCCGAGCCTACGCTACACTTACAATATTAAGTTAAAAGCAGAACCCACTGAACCGCCTGTCCCTTGGTCTCAGAAAATACGCAAAAATAATCATGATAAAGAGTTCATGAGGGTTTACTTTGTGCCAGCAGGGTGTTAAGGCTCTTACACACGTCGTATTTTGTCATCTTCGCAATTAGGCGGATGCTGTTTTCTCTCCTAGTTTGACCAGGACAGAAGACTGAACTTGGAGCCTCCCACTAGCGCCTGGCCATTATTGCGCGGCCGGCGATGAGCCCTCTGGCTAGCTATTATCCTAATCATTTAGCAAAGGGCTGTCAGAGCTACACTAAGGTGACCAGATTTTAACATTGGTAAAGCGGGACACCATTTGAGGGGGCGGTAGGGCGGGGCCTGACAACAATGCAAACTTTGATAAGCAGTTCTCGATAATCAGTTCTCAACAATTATGTGTTATTATTAAAGTTTAACATTATAAAATTAACAAAAATAATATAAAACTCATATCCTGGTGAAAAAGTCACATAGCACGCAGCCCCAAACCATATATTTCCTTTTTGTTCTCTCGCGTTCCCTAGCTTGTCATGCATTCTTCCAAAAATCGGACTTTTTAAAAACGCAGCAGGACGCGGGACAAATTGTTTAAAATCGGGACTGTCCTGCCAAAAGCGGGACGTCTGGTCGCCTTACTCT